TCCTAAAAATGACAATTCACCAACAAGCATATAGAAATCTTTCAGTAGACTGTGTAGCTTTCCAGCAGACTAACGTATTTCCCAGGTTAAATCACGTTTCCAATCGTCATCAGAGTCAAGAATAGGCATTTTCATATGGAGCTCTCATACTCATCAGAATTCTTAAACACTTCCCGTAATCGAGGAGCTAACTGCTTCACACTCAGAGAAGGGTTGGCAGAAGCTCCTTGATTATGGGTAGTGGTGAGAATTCTGATGAGTATGTGTGCTCCATATGAAAATGGCTGCTTTAGATGTTGCTCTCTATGACATTGTATCCCATCGAAGTCCCTCCCCTTCCCCAAACCTTGTCCCTGAATCTCCAGGTAAAGCCCTTGGGGATCTTTAGCCTGGAGAAACGGCGGCTGAGGGGTGACATGACTGAGGTTTATAAAATTATGCATGGGAAAGAGCAGGTAGAGAAAGAGGTACTTTTCTCCCTTTCTCACAATACAAGAACTCGTGGGCACTCCATGAAATTGCTGAGCGGTCGGGTTAGAACGGACAAAAGGAAGTCCTTCTTCACCCAAAGAGTGATTAACATGTGGAATTCACTCCCACAGGAGGTGGTGGTGGCTACAAGCAGGGACGGCTTCAAGAGGGAATTGGATAAGCATATGGAGCAGAGGTCCTGTCAGACTCCTGCAACAATCAGAATCGATGACTTGCTTCTTTAGAAAAGAAATTTATTGATCAGTATTGGCAGAACATCACTACTTCAGGGTCTGTGTTAAGACTAACCTAAAAAGTGCGGGGTAGTTGGATATACAGGGTTCAAAGGAGGGCACGGAGCAGCAGAGAGCCAATCAAGGTAAGAAGTGGGGGCCGCCAGGTTTCTAATGGCCCCCTCGTTCCCAGAGAAAGATGTTACAGTTAGGAACCAAGGTCACACACACCAGCTATACAGATAAGGGAGCATCACCCAGACAAGGAGAAAGCAAAAGTTACATTCCAAGGAATCCCTTCCCCCTCCATACCAACCTTTATGGCAGTGAGCTGACAGGTCCATCCGTGGCTATTAGCCACAAGGTATAGCTAGGAACTCTGTCTGGGGAAAGGGATGCCCTGTATTCTTGGTGCTTGGGGGGGGGACAGTGGGAGGGCTTCTAATGTCCTGGCCCCACTGCTGGACCTCCTGACGGCCCCTGGTATTTTTGGCCACTGTGTGACAGAGTGTTGGACTAGATGGGCCATTGGCCTGATCCAACATTGCCTTCTCTTATGTTCTTATCTGGAACAGAGGTCCATCAGTGGCTATTAGCCACAAGGTATAGCTAGGAACTCTCAGTCTGGGGCAAGGGATGTCCTGTATTCTTGGTGCTGGGGGGGCGACAGTGGGAGGGCTTCTAATGTCCTGGCCCCACTGGTGGACCTCCTGATGGCACCTGGTATTTTTGGCCACTGTGTGACACAGAGTGTTGGACTGGATGGGCCACTGGCCTGATCCAACATTGGCTTCTCTCATGCTCGTACGTTCTTAACCCGGAGCTGGCGACCCAACTCCTCACTGTCTCACAGAACTGAAATAGAAAGCACAACCTAGCTGGTAGAAGTGGAGATAATAAATATAACAGATAACAGTAAAATGGTGAATACTGTCATGCCCTCTCCTGCCATCCTGGCCATTCCCCCAGCGGGCTGAGCTGGGCGGAGCTGGGGTCTTGCATTGTCCATAGGGGCTTACTTCTGAGTAGACCCACTTGTTCCGAGAGCCTTGCAGCCGTTCAAAGTTCCCCTACCCAGATTTCCTGGGAGTAAATCCCAAGGAAGAACACGGGGCTTGCTTCTGAGTAAACCTGCACTTCTGAGTAGATCTGGTCGCTCCCCTAGCTTTGCAGCCATTCAGCGCTTCCCTGCTTCGGGCCCCGGAAAGCGGAAGTCACTCACCGGCGGTCTCCATGTGTGACCCTCCCCCCCTCCTCCCTGGGGGAGGGGGGAAGAGGCCTCAGCCAGTGGAGGGAGGTGAGGTTTGGCTTTGTGCCTCTCCCACGTGATTACAGGAGCTGGGCAGGGGCGGACTGCTGCACAGCGGCAGCCCCGGAGAGGGAGGCAGGGCAGAGTTTCCTCACCCTGTGTTCAGCTGGGAATCTGTGCACTGGGGACTGGGAACTTGTGGGCCTTTTAGCAACAACAGTGGTCACTGCCCATATGACCTAGAATTGACATCATTGCATCTGGGATGTTGGGGTGACACTCTGGTATCGGGCAAAAAACTCTATGGTAGAAGCTAAATTTACCATAGAGTTTTTGCCCAAATACCATCCGGACGTGATGATGTCACGTCCAAGTTGCATGGGCAGCGATGAAGACACGTCACTGTACATTGGATGGGTCTCCCTGCTGCTCCTGGTAAGGCCCCCCTCCCATATCGGTTGCCAGGAGACCAATTGTTCGCCTCAGACATTTTCATCCCTGAAGCAAACATTCAAAATGACACTCACTTCCTTCTTCTTCCGACAGGAACACTTTGGGTTTTTTCACAGCACCAGAAAGTTTGCCCATGGAGGCGAGGCAAGGGCGTCTTTCTCCTCCCTCATACCCAGGGGTCATTTCCTGCAGGAGCACATAGGAGCAGAGCTCCGGCAGTAATGATCCCAGGGGGCGGGCACATGCAACAAGCCCCGCCCCCTGCTCCCTACAGCCCTCAGTCGGGCCACGAGGAGCAAGAAGCAGTCAGGTAAGTTGCAGAGGCCCCCCCCCAGCCCGCCTTCAGGTACAAGCTCTCCCTCCTCTGTGAGGATAGATCTGCACATGCCCCCCCCAATAGCTAGCAATCCAAAACAGTCCAGTGGAGCCTGAGCGGTGGGTGTTGCCTTCTGACACACTTCCGGAGATGTCAGGGGGTGTGGCATATGCAAATAAGTTATGCTAATGTTATGCTAATGAGCTCCGGCAGCTCTTTTTCTACGAAATGACCCCTGCTCATACCCATGGTATCCTGAGAGAAATCCTTCATGTCAAGGCCAACCCTGATAATTGTTGTTTTGCGTGAAGAACCTCTACTTATTCAGATGTAAAGAATCTGATTTTTTATTTAAATTGCTCGTTACCTTGAGATAGATGGAAGTTGTTGTACGGGTACAAAGCGTTTCAAATTTCAAACGCCTCGGTACAACCGTCTTCCATTATTTTAGAGAATCGATCATCCTGAGGTGAAAAAGCAGGTAGTCAAAAACAATTCCCTTCACTGCCAGCTGGCTGCAGGCTTTCGATTAACTCAGTTCCACTCCAAATCTGCTCCCACACTCAAAGGGCTCGGAAGGGCTTGGAAGCTCACCATAAGTGCTAATGTGATCGAGCCCCTCATGTACAGCTGGCCAGTTGCAGGTTGGGAAATACCCAAAGATTTTGTGGGTACGGCCGGGAAGGGGGGGTGTTTAGGAAGGGGAGGGACCTCAGCAGGGTATAAAGCCATAGAGTCCACCCTCCAAAGCGGCCATTTTGTCCAGGCGAACTGACCTTGGTTGTCTGGAGATCAAAGGTAATAGCGGGAGATCTCCAGGTGGCACCTGGAGACTGGTATCCCTACCCTCATGGCAGAAACAAGTCCAGGCTCTGAGTCAGTAGCCCTTGGACAAGCTTTGGTATATCCCAGGTATAGCAAATCAGCACCAGTATTTCCTCAGGGGTGCTCCCTGAACCAGTTAAGAGAGACTCCTTGGGTTTAGGCAAATATTAGTCGCTTTGAAATCACTGGGAATAAAGCAGAAACAAATTCAAGTTCATTTTTGTGATGTCTTAAAATTAGTACCAAGCGTTCAGGTGGCGGCGGCTTCCTCTATGAAAGGATGGGGGGGGAAAGGTAGAAAACAACTCAACCCAAGATGTACCAGCACTGTTCGAAGGGTCAAGCTAAACTAAGGTAAAGGTAAAGGTTCCCTTGCTCGAAAGCCAGTCGAGTCCGACTCTAGGGTTGCGGTGCTCATCTCCATTTCAAAGCTGAAGAGGCAGCGCTGTCCGAAGACGTTTCCGTGGTCATGTGGCCGGCATGACTAAACACCAAGGCACACAGAACGCTGTCACCTTCCCACCGAAGTGGTACCTATTTATCTACTTGCAATTTCTTGCTTTCAAACTGCTAGGTTGGCAGGAGCTGGAACTAGAGACGGGAGCTCACTCCATCATGCGGCAACTCGGGTCTTGAACTGCTGAACTACCGTCCTTCCACAGCCTGCAGTTCAGCGTCTTAACCACTTGAGCCACCGCAGCTCCATGAAGCTAAACTAAAGATAAATATTATTTTTTGAATTTATTTATGGTGCACACAATAGCAGTGCTGAAATTAGCATAAATACATTATTCTAGGCATTCGCTGTCAATTACGCTGACTTATTATGGGAAATCCATCTTGAGTCCATGTGAGAAAGGCGGGCTATGGATAAATAGATAAATACTTAAAAGCAGGGCTTTTTTGTAGAAAAAACCCCAGCAGGAACTCATTAGCATAATAGGCCACACCCAACAGCAGAAATTCATTTGCTTATTAGGACACACCCCTGACAGCACAGCTCATTAGCATATTAGGCCACAACATGCCCATGGTTGCAGAAGTGTGGTCATCCAGACACACTCACCTTTTGCTTCTTATACTGTTTACCTTGTTTGTGGTCAAAACCCAGGGCTTTTTTATAGCAGGAACTCCTTTGCATGTTAGGCCACATACCCCTAGTGGAGCCAGTCCTAATGAGTTTCTGCTGTTGGGTGTGGCCTATTATGCTAATGAGTTCCTGATGAGCGTGGCCAACTCGGAAGCCAGCCGGAACCCCGTTCCTGTGCGTTCCTGCCCCAAAATAGCCCTGCTTAAAAGCAGCGCTAGTGAATTTGCAAAAACATTATTTACACGGTGGATGTTTAGTCCTCAGTAGTTTCAGAAATGATGCCAGGTGTTCCCACACTTATTTTCATTTCCAGAACATTTGGAGAGGGGAGAGGGAGATTTAAAATTCATTATGGAGACTTACCTATATTGCTTCCTTGTGTCGTAGCCAACCGCATTGGTCTCCCAGATTTTTGTAGCCAGAACCCGAACCGTGTTCAAGAACAAAACAAAGTTTAACTGGAAAAGAGGGTGCAGATTGTCATCTCATGATGCTTTAGAAATACAAGTTGCAGTCAGTGTTCCCTCTAAGCTGAGTTAGTGTGAGCTAGCTCACAGTTTTTTCACCTCCGACTCACACATTTTGGTATTAGGTCAGGAAGGATGGCTCCAGAGCAAACTAAACAGAGGAGCGGTGGCACAGGGGATTTATCCTCTGGTTAATACATCTGAGCTGAAAAGAGCTGCTGTCAGTTCTAGCCCCATGCTGGTGTGAGCTACCAGCCTTGTCCCCAGCTCGTCGTCCACCCAGCGGTTCGAAAGCTTCAGCACGTAGATAAAATGGGTACCACTCCTTAGAGAGGGTGGGCACACTAACCCCCCGGTGGGGGAGGTGTTAGCCGGCAAAACGGAATGTCCAGCACGTAAGATCGAAAGTCTAGAAAGAACTCTTCGGCATTAAGGAAGCCTGTAATGGGCTGTCCGGCCAGGTGGTGGCAGTGCTGCGCTGCAACTAGAAGCAGTCCTGGAGAAGGCTGACGACATCAAGCCACGCCGAGGGAAAAATGCCGTTGGAACACGTCTGACCTTACAGCTGAACAAACTCCCTGTCGGTTGCAAACGTGTGTGATTTAAAAAGATTATATCTTGTCCTCCCTTACCTCTTGAATTATTATTAGTCCCATGTGTATTTGAGTAACCGTAAATCGGTCAGAGCCAGCAAGCTCTGCAGGATTGAGCGATTAATATATTGAAAGATGATGATGATGATGATGATGATGATGATTATTATTATTATTATTATTATTATTATTATGCTGTCATCTAGAGGATCATGCAGAGTTATTAACAACAACAACAACAACAACAACAATAATTTATGCAGCAGCCAGATTGCTCACTCAACTTTAATGCCAGTAGGATTTTTGCTCACGAGACTCCGCAGCTTAGAGGGAGCATTGGTTGCAGTCCTAAGGGCACCTTCTGAGTAGAACATGGAGGCTAAGTCTCCTGCTACAGCAGGAAACCTCCTGGGTATTTCCTCCAGCCCCCCCCCCCAGCATTTTCACAAGCCCCTGCTGGCGCTTCATAGTGGGGGCAATATGGGATGAGATGGCAGGGCATGCCAGTGTGTGATGTCATTTCTGGTAAAAACTGGAAATGCTCTAGGATTTGCTGTTGTTCTAGGATTTGCCAAAAACTCTATGATTAAACCATTATGTTTAGGTGAATTCTAGAATATCCAACCATGTCATGACCAGTGCTCCATCTAAGCTGTGGAGTCTTGTGAGAAAAAATTCTATTTTGTGAGCTACTAGCATTAAAGTTGCGAGTGAGTGATTTGGCTACTGCATGAATTCGTTTGCTCTGGAGCCTTCCTTCCTGAGCCAAGGCAAAAATGTGTGAGCCAGAGGTCATGACATCACTTCCAGGTTTGCTGGAAGTGATATCACATACTGGCATGATTAGAGTTGCCAGTACAAGTACTTGAAGGGCTGTCATCTAGAGGATCATGCAGAGTTGTTTCCTGTTGCCCCAGAACCAATGGGTTGAAATCAAATCATAAAAGTTTTCGGCTGACCCTTAGGAAGAACTTCCTGACAGAGCGGTTCCTCAGTGGAACAGGCTTCCTCGGGAGGTGGTGGGCTCTCCTTCTTTGGAGGTTTTCAGACAGAGGCTAGATGGCCATCTGACAGCAATGCGGATTCTGTGAACTTGGGCAGATCATGAGAGGGAGGGTGGGAAGGGTTGCCTCAGTGCTTAGTTCTCGTGGCCCTTTCTTACACGCCCAGGGAAATGCTAATCGCCACTTTGGAGTCAGGAAGCAATTGTTCTCCAGGCCAGTTTGGCTGGAGATCCTGGAGGTTTTTTTGTCATCTTCTAGGCATGGAACAGCAGTCACTGGGATTGTGGGGGGGAGGGGAGGTATTTGTGGATTTCCAGCATTGTGCAGGGGGTTGGACTAGATGACACTGTAGGTCCCTTCCGACTTTATGATTCTACTAGGAAAAAGGCCCATTGTGGAAATAAATACAACGACCTCTAGAAAGAGGCTCTGGGCGGGTGTCCCGGCTTTGGACACTCAGTGTCAATTTGCTGTGGTGACCTCTGATACCAGAAATCCTCAGATGAAGATTAATCCATTGCCCAAATCTGCTTTATCTAAAGCAGGGGCTTATAAATGGGTTCTTGAGCACGATTTGTATACAGAGAATGGGTCAGACAGACATTGCTTTGTTCCCCATAAAGAGACAACACAGCTGGATGGTTAAAGAATAAATGTTGTCTTTACTAAATATTGTTGATTTCTCAAGCACACAAAACAGATGCGTTCACATATATACACAAGTTTCCTTTAGTTATAATAGGTATAGAAAGCAATCAGTAAGAAAAATAATAACATAGGACTCACTGGGAAGTAAACACACAAAAGGATAGCGGTTGATACTTATCTGATCCCAACGAGGAAAGCAGAAACAAAAGATCTCACCAGAGGGATCCTCCTTCACACGGGTGGACCAGCCAAACACGTGTGGGCTATCTTGGTGTGTACTTCCAAGAAAGCATGTGAGAATCACCCCTAGCAGAGCTCCAGTTGCTTAGGTGGGGGGGGGGGTTGTCTCAGCTAGCTTGGTTTGCTAACTGGCATAACTTAAGTTACAGAAAGGTGGGGGATGGCTAGCTAACCAAAGGACAAAGGTGTGCATCGCCTTTTAAAACCTGCCTTAGGGGCTGGCCCTGTGTGCCAACCTCCTGTTCTTGGATCCGTCCCCTTCTCGTCACCTATAGGCTGATGGGTAGTGACGCATCTACCTAGAGGGGAGTGGGGCAATATTCAAATTCTACCCTACACTTCAATGAGAATCATTTGGTCAGGTGTCAAAGTTGTATTGCCATGGTAACCTTTGAATTGCAGATGCTGGCCTCTTTTGTGATTCAAACCAGATACGAGGGGTTTCATGTTATCCAGCAGATCTTTAATGGTGGGCGAGTTGTTGTTCCCAAGACTTCATGAGGCTGAGCTTAATGGAGAATGTCTTCTTTGTCCCAAGGCATGATGGGAAGGTGTGGGTATGCGTGTGTCCATTAGCATACCTATAGCAGGCCCTGCACATCGCAGCTTCCAGGTGCAAGCAAATCAAAGCAAGCAAAGCACACAGCATTTCCCAAATCCCATATATACAAATGCAGAGACATTACAGACATGCAAGCATCAGCATAGCACAAATAATACATTCAAAGCACACTTGCCAACACCTCAGCAGGGTATAATGACACTGAGTCCATTTTCTCCATAGGAACTGATCTCTGCTACCTAAAGAACAGTTGTAATTTTGAGTGATCTCCAGCCCTCACCTGGAGATTGGCAACAATGGTTACCCAGAAGGGAATAGTTGGTTTGGAGGGTGGAGTCTATGGCTTTGGATCTGTCCGAGGTCCCACGCCTCACCCTCTCCAGGCTCCATCCCTCACATCTCCAGGAATTTCCCACCTGGAGTTGGCAACCCTATCTCCTTCCCAGCCAACCTTTATTTCCCCCTCACTCTTCAGCTTTCCACCCCCAACACCTGCAGCCTCTCCCGTGCTCTGAAGCCCTGACTGCTACGTCACATTGGCTGTCATATGGGGGCCACCTCAGCAGCATATAAGGATACAGAGCCCACCATTTTCTCCAGGGGAACTGATCTCTGCCATCTGGAAAGCAGTTGTGATTCTGAGTGATCTCCAGCCCCCACTTGGAGATTGGACACATTTTACCTCAGAACAGCAAAACTGTTTAGAATGTTAGAGGCAAAAGCCAATCAAGTCGCATATGCAAACGACTTCTGTGTTGCGAGGCAAAGGCCAATGAGGCTGCATATGCAAATAACCTCTGTGTTCTGACTGGCTGTGGGGGGGAGAGGAACAGCAAACTGCTTAGAATGTTGGAGGCAGGACTCAGGCAAAGCAGCCAGTGGATAGGGAGACCCTCTGAATGACAGATCAGAGAGCGAACTGATTTTGGAGCGTGTGGAATGTTCTAGAGAAGTGCCGCCACCATTCGGCTTTTATTTATAAGGGAGATGATTCCCAGTCTCAAACAAAGTGATGTCATGACACCAGGACACTGGCAATTCCCCCCCACACACACACACATTTTCCTCATGCTGCCCAGCTGAGCAGCAGTAGGAAAGACTGGCTGGAGGTGGGTGGTCTCCTGCCTGAAGTGGGAAGCTGACAACACTACGCATGACACCAGGGCACCTGTCCCTGCCCCCCAGATCCTCCCTGAAATTCCAGGAGTCAGCCTCATGTTCCTCCTCCCCCAGAGGAGGCATGTTCGCTCTGAGGTTCCAATCAATAAGCACACAACTGCGTGGCCTTCCTCACATCCCTATAACTGAAGTCTTTTGAGAGCAACTCCCACAAAACCTCAAGGAGAAAGAGCCAATGCACTGGCCTCTTGGTATTGATCTTGAAAGAAAAACACCCGTCTCTGCTTTACACACAACACTAAGACACAATAGCAAACATAGGCCAATATTCTGTCAATCGATGTATGTGGAACTGAGTGAGCTAGGAAAGGAGAAAGGGGGAATAACTCGGGGGCACCAGAAGAAGAAGAGCTGGTGTTTATAACCTGCTCTTCACTACCCAAAGGAGTCCCAGAATGGCTGACAATCGCCTTCCCTTCCTCTCCCCACAACAGGCAGCTTGTGAGGCAGGTGGGGCTGAGAGAGTTCTGAGAGAACGATGACTGGCCCAAGGTCACCCAGCAGGCCTCATGTGTCTCAAAGCGGCTGACAATCGCCTTCCCTTCCTCTCCCCACAACAGGCAGCTTTTGAGGCAGGTGGAGCCGAGAGAGTCCTGAGAGAACCATGGCATCCCGGCAGGCCTCATGTGTCTCAAAGCGGCTTACAATAGCCTTCCCTTCCTTTCCCCACAACAGGCAGCTTGTGAGGCAAGTGGGGCTGAGAGAGTCCTGAGACAACTGTGACTGTCCCAAGGTCACCCAGCAGGCCTCACATGTCTCAGAGCA